CATCCCCAATAGTCTAGTAGTTTTTGATACCGGATCGAAGCGGCGTAAGCATCGTCCCCTTGCTTCTAGTGGCTTAAGGGACCATTTAAGCAGCCCACGTCTCCATGGTATTTGAGCAACTGCAGTGGAATGGATGCAGACCCGCGCCACTAGACAGGGCCGAACGAGGGCCTCTTCGAACACCTGCGAATATGCCATGATCCGTAGGCATATTTAGATACAAAAAAAATCAGCATCAAAAACTAAAAAGGATTAAATATGTTAGCGGCTGTATCGATAACTAGCAGTATGCTAACAGACCCATAAGCTCGGGTTTTATTTTTGAGTCTAAGATATAAACGGGAACTATTAAGTTGGAATATGATGGCGTTGTTGCATGACAGATTGACGCGCTAATGACAGCATTCTGCGAAGACTGCGGTGTGACGCGATCCGATGTCGACGAGGTCATCTCGAAACGCCGCGGTCGCAAGTTCACTCACCTCGAATGGTCGGTGTTCGAGTCAGTGTTCGCTGCCTCTGACTTTCGAGTATTCTGCGGCATGATGAAGCGCAAGAACATCGACCTCCAACTACAGACACTGAGGATGATTGAGGCAAGCAGATGAGTGACTGTAAATGCTGGTCGTTGTTTACACTTGCCACATTTGTCATTTCAGAAGTTTTACGGCTGCATTCCGGCTTCAGCCTTGTCCAAGGATCTGAGAGACACGCTGAACTGGAACGATGATAATCGCATCATGATGAGAACGATCAGGTCATTCATTACGTAATTTCAGCTAATTAAATAAGGAATGAATACGTACTAATTTTGCGGTGTTTTTTACCTTACCTGATTTTCCGCTTCTCGCTCATTATCAATGAGGAAATTCATTATCACTCTAGATTCAAATAACCGTGGAATGTTAAACGAAACAAGACAGAACATAATCGTCCTGTTTCAGATTAGCCACCACATAACAGATTATCAGTCATGTCAGCAATCATTGCATTTGAATTTCAGATACCGGATTTGTTCGATATGCGAGCTCATCGACTACTTGGTTCAGTCGCCCATGGGTGCCACATTTGCGCAGCCCACGGCTCCGTGGCTACATGAGCACCTGCAGTGGATCAGAGGGCACTGCAGTGCGTTTCTGTGAGGGGTTGAACGAGGGAGCGTTCGAGCTGCACTAACTATATCTGCCACTATACGTAGGAATATATTTAGATATGATTGACGGGGGAATTGGAAACCTGTAATGTAAAACCTACCCGGGACATCATGTATTGTCCATGCGTTTGCCCTCGGACAGTGACAGACTTAGTTCTAGTCAGAGTTCGCCCAAACTTTGTTCAGCCCAACTACATAGTCCATGGTACAGTCCAGCATCTAAAGCGTTGCAGCTGCTTAAATGTTTAAAATGACGATTTGTTTAAATGGTTCCCTTAGGTGACTAGAAACAAAGGAGCGGTAGACGTATACCGACAAAATCCGACATCATAAGATACGGATATCAATGCTAATGGGGAATGTCTACCACAACAAACATTGTAGCATGACACAACACAGGGACAAGGGGCATGGGCACAGATGGCTAACTGACACGAATAGGCGTTAGTTCATTTACAGAGAAGACATTTGCTAGCCGAAGTGGATGAACAGCTTCTTACGATTTACTTCAAATTATCCGTCTGAAATAAGGAAAGGCGGCATCACAAAACTCTTGTTGGCAAATGCCAAAAACCAACTTCTAGCGAACAAGGCATTCGCAAAGAATTAAATTACCTCAGAAAAGGTTTCAGAGACAGTGGCTATCCCAGATGCCTAGTAAAAGAAGACATTCGTCAACAAATAAACCAGGTCAATATGAAGAACAGAAATGAAAGCGGCGAATTTGCCGGAAAGGTGGTGTGTCTGCTCTTCGTACTCGCCCAGAGCAAAAAACTATGAAGGATCGGTTTACGGCTTGAAAGTTGTGTACACACGTCTGAACTCCCCATTCGGAGTTAGCTAACTCACGCCAAAACAGACGTGACGCTAGAAGAAAAGAAAGGGAAAGCTTTTAACCATTGTAACATCGGTCTTGCACTTTTATGATGTGCCATTTTTGCACCCTGCTTTACATAAAGCTCAAATCTGAACTCAGCTTTCAAAGTCAACTAACTCATGTCAAAACGAAAGTGCCATAGGAAGAACACTGCAGATGGGTATGATGTCTTCCCTGCAAATTTGGTGAAACTTGTATCAAAGGGAAACAGTGATTCAATCAAGAAAAAAAAGAAAGCAACATATGTGCAACCTCAGGAGGCTAAACAACGTGAGAGAGAGAGAAAAGCAGTGTGCAACATGGACGAGGCAGGAGGCAGACGAATAAATAATCAAACCGTAATTCAAAAAATAACTTTGCTGCTGCTTAGCACTGTATCGTCCAAAGCATGAAATAGATTGACGGCACACAAGCGCGAGCTATGCCTCAAAGAACTTTACAAAGATCAAATAAAGCCCTGTTCATGACGGTCAACGGATGTTTGAACTAGGACAATGACATGGACTTGAGCAATACCTGGACTCTCGCTATTTGTAAAATGAAATCGGCAAGCACTAGTCGCTGATTGGCGCTTTATGAACCGAAATTTGACCTCAACAATTTGACTTTCATCAAATTTGTTTTATCACTGTACCTTGACAACGAGCCGAGTATGGTTCGAAAGGTATATGTGAAAAGGAATTTTGTAATACAGTGTATATGCGGATCAATTTTCTAACAGATATGAATGTCATGGAATTAATGAACATGTTATGCTTGCACTTAGCTTTAACAAGGAAACTTTCGGTTGCTGTTGGACCAGACGGAGACACTATTTCAGACTCTAAGGGCGTCGTTAATAAATAACAGCATCACAAGACCTTCAAGCCATTGAAAGACATAATATGCATAATACATATACTTGCATAATTTGCACAATATTCGTATACAGCCCCTATTCTAATCAAATTACGAAGTAATATCTCTAGTCATAAATAGACTGCAGCCTTGAAAAGAGGTCAAATATGTTGATGATCCAACAAAACGATAAGCAAAAAATACTGATGAAAATAGGATTAGAAGCGGTCGGTTGTTCAGCAAGCATGTGGCTCACATTGTTCGAGATATTTGCTGAATTTTAACTCATTTAAAACGATTTTAAATAACGAAGTTGCTGAGCATTCGCCTTTTCGGCTTCAAATGAGCATAAACGTAAAATTCTTTCACGTTGTAAGGTTTAACAATGGTCGACCTCTAGTATTTACCATATGCTCTTTCAGGAAGTCACCACATTGATGAGATGTGCAATGAGATAGAGGACGATACGGCACATCTCTGTACTATTTTCATTCCAGATAACAAATTAGGATGATACCGGTAATGATATTTACCATTCAGAGGTATGCTGATACGGCATTGAACTCTGCACAACATTGCCACACAAGAATCTACCATTCTCGATCTGCCAGTTGACCTGATGAAAGTTTTTATGCCAATTGTCTCTCCATTCTTCATATCATCTCCTCCACCCAACATCATCGGGATCTGAAGTCCATATCCCTCGCGGGTTCGTCCCTATTACAAAGGGTAGGCAGCACAGACATCAAATTTCACGTGTTTTCTTCGACCACTAATAGGCGTTTGGATATCATTGTTACAATCCAGGTTCGTGTTCTGAGTGTCCTTCAACTAGAAAGATGTACTTTAAAAACAGAAATAGGCGTATGAGCCAATTTATTGCTATTGCCTCATTAACCCACAGTTCAGAGTACGTTTCCGTGAGGATGTTAAGTTACGTTCTTTGCATCCTTCGTGGCGTGCGGTCCTCTGCTGTGACCGTGGTGTCCTGAATGCAAACGGAATTTACGCTGACTTTGTAGAAACTGCAGAGGAGCAAAGTAGGCTTGATGCCACGCAGCTGATCAAAAAGAAACATACAGATAAAAAGGAAAAGTAAATCAAAATATCAACAAAAAGAAAATAACAAAATAGACTGTCTCGAATATCTGCGAAACACAGCACATCCGGAGTATCCTTTGAACCGACGATGATAAAGTTTCGAGAGAGATAAAGAATACAAAGCATGCATAAGTATTATGTCTTGCCTTTGAGCCGATCATAAACATAGTCGCAAGCCTTAGATTCATATACGTGACCCTAGGATATGGAAATAATCGTCCGGTCACTTTTAGGCAGAGTCAATTGGAGTTTGAAGAAGAAAAACGCCGCTGGCAGAAGGAAGACATGGACTTTAGAGAAGCCATAATCGCCAGCCTGGCAGAGAAAGAGCGTTTGGAAGCAGAGAATCGCTACGAAGAAGAACTGCTTGAAAAGGTCAGTCGGTTTTGTGTCAGTTTCGTATACCGTATTTTCTTTTGAGTGTTTGGATAGAGAAGTCAAAGTTAGGCCCATTATTCGTTCTGGAATCCTGCTGTCCTCCCGCTCCATTCAGAATGGATAGCGACGAAGTTGCTCAATGGTACTATGTCCGGCATGGTGGGTCCGTTTCATTATCGTTCGCCATGTGGCATAGGGCACGAAGCAGCTTTGGTAGCAAATTGTCATAAGAAGCTATAATTTCCTGACAGCCATCTTGGCCCGGGTGCCAATGTTCGAATGGATGTAATCATTTGAGTATCGGGTGGTAAACATGAGACTGGGATGATAATATTTTACGTTTTTTAATCTGTTAAATTAATATTGATCATTGTCTACGCTGAGCGGAGTACTGTACTGATGACATGATTTGCGTGCTTGCAGGCGCTACGGTTGTCATTACAACAAGAAGCTCATAAAATGTCTTTCGAAGAGGATTCGCTGTTTACTCACTCTGATGAGCCGTTCTTCGTTGAGACAACGTCAGCAAAGACAAAAAACGAAAAGCATCCCCAAGTTCCAGCGTCAGTGAAAAACACCCTCGTTCCTGTCAGAGAGGTGAGTTTCCTAAAGATCGTTTTGATAAGTAACTGTGCCGTATTTTAGGCTAGAAAATCTAACTTGGATGACATAACAGACTTGCTTCAGCGTGTAAAGCCTAAACAAGCGAATGAATCGACCGTCTCCAACGACGATCCACAGGAACAGCCTGAAAAAGCATTTTTGGTAATCTGAGTAACAACTAGCATTTGCATTCAAATGGTGCCGCAAACACTGCTTATTAATTAATTTTGTTGGCAAACATCCTAACCCAAAATCTGTTTGATTTTTTTTGAAATAGAAATATAATTGGTTAGTTAGGCAGTCAGACAGTGAGGGTGGCAACAATTGAATTCTTCGCGTTGTGTCCTCGTCAACGGATCTCACCAGCGCCGCTCTTATTCGATGCAACCGATGGGACAATACATGGTTAAAGCATGAACAGTTATGTCGGTTTATTCAGGATTATGGTATTTCCGTTCGGAGCAGCAATTCTTCCTGATTCGAACGCCTTATGCCGTGCGGTTCTTGTTGATACACCTGAGTCGAAACTTAGCATGATAATCTGCACAAAGCGCAAAGCCAGTTGTTTGTGTAAAAATATACATTTTCGGGAAGAATTGTTCTAGAAGTTTCGTAGAATTTTAGTAGTCCTCCTTTGCCATTATTTGGATGGCCAACCTCCTGTCCATCCTCGACTTGCGGATAATCGAACGACCACTAGATATGGAGGTTAGCTGCAACAAATAGGCAATCGCTGACGGGCAGTAGTGAGGTCACCATGGAGTGACCGTGTTCGAACTCGACAAGTTCGATTTTCAGAGGATAAGCCACTGTTTTGTAGAGGCGAAAACGACAAGCCCCTTTAAAGAAAAACGACCGCTTATGTCATCGCTGCCTTGCTTTGGATGTCGGCTCGTTAAAGAGGAGAACAGACAACCTCGATGAGAACCGGATGGAATTTTGTACGAGAATCCTAAGGCCATCATCAGCTCTGCCATCGAGTGGCAAAACTTTACTCATAACGACAACACGAATAAATGGGTCACGTTACCTTGAGCGGCATCGTCCCGTACCACTGTTCCGTTCGACTGACCAGA